ATTCTGGTGGTGGTTTTCTACATTGAAGTTCCCGAAGACATCAGAGGAAGCGAGGGAAAAGGGTCGGGTGTTGTGCCCAATTCTGACCCCCGCCAGATTATTTGGGAGGTTTAGGAGTAGGTGTGGGGGAGGGATTAGGAGTAGAGGTATGGGGTTAGGTTTAGGCAATCAGGTAGCGACTTCAACGAGGGGGATAATAATTTGGCAGGGGGTTGAAAACGGGCACAACACCGGGATTCAGGTGAAGCTGAGGCTGTCCTGGAAGTGAGGAGTCATCTGAAAACAGCGTATTTTGTTTGCATTTTATTTGACTTATTTTTTTATTTAGATTCATCATCATGCAGTCAGGTAATTAATTCTCGCATCCTAAGTACCCTTTCTTAAGAAAAATGTTGTGCTTCTTTTGAAAATTTGTCCATTATTATGTCAAACAGTAGTGTTGATGTTCAAGTTCAACTTTTTAATGAGTACTGCCTTTCAGTCTTGGACGAAGTTGCTCCAATGAAATCCAGAGCAGCCCCTCTGTTTAACTCCTCCCCTCGCTCTTTTTAAACACACCTGCCGTAAAACTGAGCATTTGTGGAAATCTGCTCGACTACTAGTTCAGTATCAGCATTTAAGAACTTCTAATGGAGTTTAATAACATGGTTAAGCATGCCAGAATTAAGTACTTTTCTATTCTAATATCTAGTAGCAGACATAATCCCAAAATTGACACCAACCATAACATCGCTTCTCCTCCATTCACCTACGAACCAAATCTCGTCAGTTGATGAGTGCAACAGTTTACTCTCCTTCTTTGTGGATAAGATAAATAATATACAAGATAATATTATTCCTTCTCTTCAAATACCTTGTACTTCCAGTTTAGTAAGTTTGGAGAAATTGTCTCATATAACAATAGAAGATCTCACTAAACTAGTTAGCTCTATGAAAATCTCTTCTAGTCCCCTGGATGTGGCACTGCTTTTTTAAAAAAATTTATTGACACCATTGGTCCCTGTGTGCTCACCATAATTAATAATTCACTAACATCTGGTCATGTTCCAATTAATTTTAAACAAGCTGTTGTTCAACCAATTCTCAAGAAAACAAATCTTGATCCATCTTTGAATTGATATTCAACTTTATATTTCCTTTAAGCCCCATGAAATTACGAAATTATCTCTTCTTTTAAATTGTATAAACTTTATAAACGTCTGGATGGCAAAAAATACCTGAGGTTAAATTCTGAAAAAAAAAAGAAAAAAAAAACAGAAGTACTTACCTCGGCTCCTCCTGGTGTTCTCCCTAAGTTGATGGAAAGTCCTGGCATTCTGTTAAAAACTTCCCTTCGTAATTTAGGTGTTCATATGGGGCAAGCCTTGAGTCTTGATCAATACGTTAAATATCTGGTTCAAAATTGTTTTTATCATTTGAGAAACATTGCAAAATTGAGGCCATTTGTGTCAATAGTGGAGATGGAGATGATTATACATGCTTTTATTTCCTCCCTCCTTGATTATTGTAATTCTCTTTTTACATGTCTTAGTAATTCTTCCCTGAAATGATTACAAGCGGTTCAAAATTCTGTTTTTAAGCTTTTAACCAAGTCATCAAAGAGATCTCACGCAACACCAATTGTAATCACTTTACATTGGCTCCCAGACAAATTAAAAATTCTTGTGTTGGGGTTTAGAGCATTGCATATAGGCTCCTGCTTATATAAATGAGTTGTTGTAACCTTACAATCCCAGCAGGAATTTGAGATCCTCCAAACGTATCTTGCTAGTTGTTCCTCGCTCCAGGTTAAAGGCAAAATGTGACTGTGCCTTTGAGGTAGTTGCTCCCAAGTTGTGGAATGCTCTTCCCTTGAATCTCAGATCTGTGGACCCTGCATGTGGACACTTTTTAAAAGTTGCTAAAAAACCCATTTGTTTAAACTTTTTTTTTTGTTTTGTTTTTTTGTTCGCTATGTATGTTCTTCTTTCTTTTTTTTAAATTCTCTTTATCTTGGATTTAAGCACTTTGTGACACTTGCTCTACAAAGGTGCTATAGAAATAAATGAACAATTATGTTATTATTTATCATGTCATGTTATTCATATGAATCTCTGGACATTTTTTTTACAATTATGTATGTACTAATTAAAATATTCTAGCAATATAATCTATTGAGTTTATTTTTAATAAACACTTTTAACAAAAAAAATGATAATCAGGTGGTATAACTTTCAATTATTAAATTAAATAATTCCATAAAGCATGGGTATTTTTTATTGGGTTTTAGCATTAGACAGCCTGCGCTAACCGTTCCATGTCATGAAAGCTCAAATTCATAATTTCAATTGTAAACTGTCTCAACGTGGATGTGTATTTAAGTTTTGAATTGCATATAAATGTATTTCAGAACAGACAGAAGCATCATACCATCGACCCATTTAATGGGACCTACTTATTATTCCTGCTGTGAAACATGATTGTTATGCAGAAGTACACTCTAAAAGATGCTGGGTTAAATACAACCCAGTGCTGGGTAAAATAGGGACAAACCCAGCAATTGGGTTGTTTTGACCCAGCGGTTGGGTTACTACCCAGAGGGTTGGGTTAAACATTTAACCCAACCGCTGGGTCAAAACAGCCCAATTGCTGGGTCTGTCCCTATTTAACCCAGCACTGGGTTGTATATAACCCAGCATTTTTTAGAGTGTAGAAACAAATAAAGCTCGATAAAATTGTATTGCTTTGAATCACATCCACATATCAAAACAAACAAAGAGGCCAGAAAGACCGGTTTCAAACAATATAAATGGGAGGATGACAGAACTACCATTTAAAGAACACTTGTTCATCTGTGCCAGCAGAGACAGTAGGCATGTATACTGTAGATGTGTGCAAGTACACAAGAATCCCACTTATAACACTTACATAACTCAACTCAGTGGTCTATGCGTTAGTTCAGTGCTCTCCCTAATTAACATCTTGATCCCGTCATCAAAGAGAACCAGCTAAAATAGCACAGCGCTGTTTTCCATGAGGCTTTAGACCCACGTGCTGAAGATCCAACAGCCTCCCCAGAAACTCAAACAAGGCCCGGCTGCTAGGCAACCACAGCCGCCCCAGAGAAAGAAGACCAAGGCTTTCACCAGCAGCACTGGAAACATTACATAAGATCTTAAGTGTTGGAGCTACAGGACCGAAACTGATACGGCATGAATACAAGAGAAAACAGTGAGACTGGGATTGCAAAATCACTCTTTATGAGAAGAACAATTTTTAAACAACATATAGTACAGACGATTATTAGGCTTATAAATACTAAAGAATTTAAAGTAAGCTAAAGAGTCAAGAATTCAACAGTTTTTCCCTGAGAAACAAGACTATGAACATTTTGCAGCATATTTGCAAAAACTATTGCAGTCAGAAAGAAAATGGGTAGTGTTCAGTCATTCTGTGCTGTGTTTATGTTGGTATGTGTTTTGGTCACAAGGGCGGCGCTATTTTAGTGCTGTGTGTACAGTGTATTATATAATAATAGACATTTTACACTACACATAACCCTGGGCTAATGTCTTTTTTCGTCATGCTAAAGGTGCTGTAAAATATATTAGCTGTTTGTTGAACTTCCACCAGACTAAGGGCCAGATTTACTAAACAAGGCAAATTAGCGCAAGAGCGCAATTCCAAAAAAGCTACGATGGGAATGTAAAGTTCTGCAGATTATCTACTGACAATACACAAATTAAAGAACATAGACGTGACATCTCATTTCCATAATGACCAACGCAATCTACCAAGAGCAGAGCAAATTAACATAAGATTGCAAACAAGCAGATCTTACATTCCAAATACATTCATACGAGTGGAAAATATACTTTCCCTTCTACCACGCACACTCTGTTCTCTGTAGTGCCTCTACCTGGCAGCAACAATCAGAGCCATGTCAAGAGCAAAATAGGTTAAGATATGCTTTTTTGGTGCGGTGAATAATAGCGGAAATACCAGTAAACTGAATAATGCAACCCTTAATAAAATCATGTTGCGTGATTCATTTAAATAATCTCCTCCTAAATGTTGCGTCTGAAAGGGAAAGTCCTACAAATGCACATGCAATAAGGTCAGCTGCAAAAATAACTCTGTCCACACCTATTTCACTATGCATCTTTAGTAAATCCTGACAGTACTTTTTAAATGCCAACAGAGGGTTTACGCTGGCGCAAGCTGTTAGTAAATCTGGCCCTAAAGGTGCGATCACATTTACCACTGCTCAGTGAAATTTTGCGAAATTCAGTCATTATAACAGGAATCCGATTGGACGTTTCGACACATAAAAAACAAAAAGGTTCGCCATCCACATTTTGCTGCACTGATGAACAGAAAGCTGCTTGGTTTGAAAGTGACAGTGTGTTTAAGGTCACATTTACTATAGCTTAGTTAAAATTCGTAGGCGTTTCAATAGAAAATTGGGAATTTCGTGTCAGGGCAAAAACAATACACGCAGATTTCGCTTCAGATTCAAGTTTTTCAAGTGAATTTACCACATTGAGCAATGAAAAACTGCTTGGTTTGAAAGAGAGCAGTGCTTCATACACAATTCACAATGGACTTTTTAATGCCCATTAAAATTCGTTAACGTGATCATGCTTTTAGCCACTGAATTAATGTGCGTTCACATTTATAGTTGTTTGGCGAAATTTTGAAGGTGAAATCCAATCATTTCCACATGAATCTGTGCAGATTCCGCTCGTATTCAAGTTGTTCATGCAAATTCGCCATTCTGAACAACAGAAAGCTGCTTGATTTGAAAGATATATCTGTGTGATCAATGCTTTATACAAATCTATTGGCAAAATTTCACTGATATTTGCTAATGTGGCCACAACTTTAGACCATTCCCTTTCAATAGAGTGAAAAGCCTAAATGTGCAATGTTATTGTTATACAGTATGTGTCATTAAAGTGATTGAAGAACAGCACTCGCTCCAGTGATTCATACACACATGTATGAGTGTGAGAGACATGTCAGAGTTCTCGGGGGATGATGGTGAAGGGCCGTATAGGGCAGCTGGACTCTAGCTCCAGTGCGGTGAGGAAGCAGTCCGGAGCCTGTGCACTGCCTCTGCTCTGCAGCGCCTCCCCTAGGCCACTCCAGGCCTCGTGTGCCGTGTTCTCCACCTGTATCGCATCCCTCAGCATCTTCTCCCCAAGACCCGCACGGCCTGTGCGCACCAACAACATCCCCTGTAGACAGGAAGAGAGAGAGAGTAAAGCTTTTTTGTTTGTTTTGTCGTGTGACGTATTTTTACAGAACGGAACATTTGACTTGTCTTGTGGGCAAGAAAAACATGAGTGTGGGGAGTTTGTGACAGTTCGCTGATGTGCCACATCACTCTATACATAAAAGTGTTTGTATGGGTAAAGTGGAAAGTTTTAAACTTGTAATCAGTACAATACAGTTTCAGGGTATGTTGACGCAACAATAATGGAAACGGAAAAATTGTTCCTTTGCGTTTTTGAAAAGTTTCGCATGCAGACGACAACGCTGTCAAAACTATCCCTATTTGGACAGATCCATGATAAAAACTAAAAAGGCTGTATTATTCATGCCAGGCCAGTAGATGGCGATGCCACTTTGTAAAGCAACACTACGCGCATGCGCACTTATGCATGCTCATGGACTGAACACGTAAAACGCATGCGCATGACATCACAGGTTTCACAAATCCACCTTTTTGTAGTTTACACAGAGTATCGTTTTTAAAAACTTGCACTTTGAAACCTGTTTTCAAAAGGTTTGCATTTTCAGGACCCCAAAACACTTGTTACATAAATGAACAGCCAAAACGCATAAAAACGTTTCCATTTTTAGTTGAAAACTGTGTCATGTAAAAGGCCCCTCAGACTCATGAATTATTTAAAAATGTATACATATACAGTACATACATGCAGGTAGGGCTGTCTATTTGAATGAACTGATCCAAACTATTTGGTAGACTACATTAGCAAAAATCTGTTAATTCTACACTACTAAATACTAAATATCAAGATACAGTGAAAAGAAACACCCCCTTTAAAATAATCACATTTTGTTGCTTTGCAGCCTGAAATGAAGACTGTGTGTTTGGTTTTTGTTTTTACCCAGCTGAATTTAATCAGTGCAACTAATAGCATCCAAGTGAAAGATATACTGTAACACCAACATGTCAGAAAAAAAAAAAAACAGAATCACTGAGTTGGAAAAAGGATCACCCCCTTGTGTCAGTATTTTGTTGAACAAAATTAATTTGTTTTTGCTTTAATTACAGCTTTTATTTTGTTGGGATATGTCTCTGTCTCTACTAACTTTGCACATCTAGACTTTGCAATATTTGCCCACTCACCTGTGCAGAACTGCTCAAGATCAGTTAAATTTGATGATGACCGTTTGCGGACTGCAGTCTTCAAGTCATTCCTCAGATTTTCAGTGGGGTTTAAATCTGGGCTCTGACTAGGCCATGCAAGGACATTCACCTTTTTCTCCTTCAACCACTGTGTGGTCTGTTTTGCTGTGTGCTTTGGGTCATTGTCATGTTGGAAGGTAAACCTTCTTCCCATTGACAACTTCCTGGCAGAGGGCAGCAGATTTTCCTCTAGAATGTCATTTGCGGGGGAATTTTTACTTTACAAATTACAGACAACAAAAAAAAACTTTTAAGCCATTTGGAAGTCAAACAAATATCAAAATATATCAAACATGTTCAAAGGTTGAAAAACTATGAGAATTATCAGCTTCTTGAATCTGAAATATCAGTGTAATTTATATTGTAAATGAACAGTATGGCATGAAAAGTGTGTTTAGAACTGCAGTGTATGTTGGTGTGTATGCCTAGAGTTAAATTCTGTTGAAATTCCCTAATCCTGCCAAAAAACAGCATAAACTGCTCATTGCAATTACATTTCATCGTCCCCTCTTTCAGCACGCACACACACACACACACACACACACACACACACACACACACACATCAATGCAGAGTTGTATTTCTGGGCACATGACTGCTGATTATGCAGGCACTTCAAAAGCACATCAGAGAGGACAATGACTCCGCTGGGGAGAGAGAAAAGCGAGGAGGAAAAAGCGAGGCGGGAAACGAGCCGCTCACAGATACAAGTGAAAGAAGCAGCCACAGGCAGGGCATGTTTTGAAATAACGATCATAACACAGCTGCAGGAATACACCGACTGACAGGCCCGTGGACCAATCACAGCTCAGTAAGAGGCTGTACTGGTGATTGGTGTTCATGAGTCTTATACCTGGAGGACTGAACAGCAAAGCACAAGCAGTACGTTTTAAAATGTAAATAGACTTGAGGCTGACACATTTGGACATAAAATAGCTCAATTTTATATAGTGATGTAGTAAAGGTGCCTCTTGAAGAACTGACGTAGGGTCACAGCCCTGCATCTGAACTCTACTAATCCAACGGGATACTGATCCCATCCAGCTGGGACCAGCTACGATTACAAGTGTCAGCTACTAGACAGACAACACACACACACACAGAGTACAAACACTAATTCATGTGTATTCAAGCAGACAGGAACACAGACACACCATTGATTCATGTGCAAACACACAACTAGATTATCAGAAAATCACAAAAGCCAGAACATTCACACATGCAGAGACTCATATTCTCACTGTTGTTTCTCGAATTGAAATAAAAATAAAACTGCGATATGACTTAGCACAATTATGAAAATGCAAAGAAAAATGTAATCAAATAAATATATGAGCCACACGTTTTAAAACAAAGCGCCGCGGCATTGTGTTCATTTCCACATGTGAACTGACTCGAGTTGAATAACATGGCATTTCTGGCTTTTGTAGAGCTGCTTATCACTGAATTGTTTCAAAATTGTTATTGATCTAAACTGAATCAACACTGAACAGGCTTGAGCTGAATAATGACACTATTTTCTGTTTAGAGCTGCAGTATAGCAGGATTTGAATTGTCTCCATAGTTAAGTTTCCATAATTGAATCTGCTATTTTTCCTGTTTATGCTGCTTTATGTCTGTATTGTATAAAGCGCTGTAGAAATAAAGGTGACTCGACTTGACACGAGCAGCTCACAATCCAGTGTTTTCTGCCAAAATAAGATAATAATGTATAAAATAATACATGTTTGAAAATATAGAAATGAAAACATAAATATCAGTATTGTAAATTTTCAGTACTGTAAAATAAAACATTTTTTTTATTTTACAGTGAAATAATATTACTACAGTAATATTTTCTAATATTATTACATTATAATATTTTATTTAATATATGTATTTAAGAATACTTTTTATTTATTTATAACTTTTTAATTATTATTGATATATAATCACAAGAATGTTGGTCAAATTGTGCAGCCCTACAAAAAAGCACAACAAACCTGAAGCTCTTTAAAGAAATGCATTTTACAATTTTATAAGAAAAATCACAATTAGATTTCCCCCCCCACGTTTGCAAATGTTAAAACAAATATTAGTACTGTAATTTTACAGTAATGCAGTTAGACCATAATTTGAAACTATAAGGTAAAATACTAGATTTTTTTATTTTACTGTGGAACAGTACTTTTACAATAGCAATATTTCTTATTTTAATATTTTTATTTAATTACAATGATAAGAATAAGAATAATACAGCAAACCTGGCGCTTTTAAAAATGCATTTTAAATAGCTAATTTCATTTTTAAAAATTGCACAATTGCAATTAGATTTCCCCCTCTGAGTTTGGGAGTGAATGAGCATGCTTACCAGATGGTTCCCAAAATAGAAAAATACAATAAAAAGCATCCTAGCATGCCAAATGTAACATGTTACAACATGGTGACTTAGTGCAAGTGCATGATGACCAAAGCAACATCAGCCTGTGAAAGCGTAAAGCGCACTCATGCCACGTCTCATATGAAATGGCCTTAACACTGGTTCTATGTCTCATTATCAGCTCCCTTGCACCGTATGATACAACTGCCTGGTTGCTAGGCATCCCATAAAGGCCTGAGAAGGAGTGAAGTGTTATAAATAATGTATTTGCATTATCTAATCAACTGACATGCCAATGGAAGAGAGCCAGAAAGAAGAGCGATAGAAAGAGGGAGGGAGAAAGCCATAGAAAAACAGAAAGGTCCCAGAAAGAGAAACTCATATGACATGAGATTGTGTTTGACTCAACTCAGCTGACATCCCTAAATGAAAAATACCCAACCAGATGCCTTGAGCGATGACTCAGACACACACGTTCATGTGGATCGCACAGCAGCAGATTCATATATGCTGTCAGTGTGAGGTTTTATGATCATGTGACCAGTGAGTTGTATAAAAATTGGCATGAATCAAGCAGAGGTCCTCTGTCCTCAGCTGCACCCTGCCATCTCCCATCCTCATTTAAAGGAGTAGTTCCTCAAAACTGACGTTGTTGTTTTATGGCCCATGGGACATAAAGGATCCGCGTTTGAAGCCTCTCCCACATTTTGGCTATATTCTTTTGTGTTTAATGAAATAAAGAAAAATACCTGAGCCCAAAATAAAAATAACTGAAGAAAACAAAGCCTATTTGTAGTACCACAATATTACATTTTTTTTAGCATTGTGACAATTTTAAGGATGCCCCTCTCTTTAGCACAATGACAAATCAGTATTATTACTATAAAAATAAAATAAAATGTATAATATTGTTTAAACAAAAATACTATTTAAAGTATTTTACATCGTGGTAGTATTGGTTGTACTTTGGACTGGTTAGACTGACTAAAAATAATAAAAATGGATGGCTTTCTTCAGGAATTATAGAAAAAAATTCTGTAATGAAATCGTTATTTAAAATAAATGGAAATCAGAAAAAAGTAAAAAAAAAATCTAGATTCTAGATGCATTACATTAATTAACATTTGGTCCTAAAAATGTATTTTCGTTTTAATTTTTTCTATTGTAAAGTTTGCATGAAATGGCATTTTCTAAATGCATGCTATTTTGTTTTATTATAAATTATTCATAGATGTCTTTCTTTTTTAATTTGATCTTGTAATGTTTAATCAAAATATCATATTTCAATCCATTGAAATGACTGATACTGTATTTCTCCAATCATTTTGTCCACTTAAACAATCGACTGTAAGCTCACATTCAGATCTGCTTCCATCCAATCAACAACCGATGGATTTAATCAAGTCCTGCCCTACATGTTTTTTCTTTTTTAATAATCTTTTCAATAATAATAATAATAATATACATCACAATATGGAAGTAAAGTTCTGTCTCTACTTCAGTTACGTCACAACTTTATGGTGAACTTGTGTGACTTGGACATTTTTTCATGAGATTTACCTGGTTTTGGAAAGACATATGAGTAAACTGTGTCATAATTTTCCATTTTTGGGTGAACAGACAGGCTCTGAAATAAAATGTCTCAGAGGAAGGACAGAAGTAATGAGAGTGCTGCTGCTCTAGTCACAGGTGTCATGAAGAACAGAAATGCTTAACCTCTCCTCATTGAATCCAGCTGATGAAAACCTCAAAACTCCATATCAGTTCAATCATAGCTGCTTAATCCTGAGAAATCAGTGCTTCACAGTGCTGTGATGCTCTGATAAAGACCAGCTGTATGTATGTATGTGTGTGTGTGTGTGTGTGAGTGTGAGTGTGAGTGTGTGTGTGTGTGTGTGTGTGTGTGTGTGTGTGTGAACTATGCAGGGCATCACCAGCTAGCTCAGAATTAGTTCTCATCAGCTCAGGGAATTGATATTGTACGTGTTTTGTCCAAAAATAGCGGGGATGTGTGCTCTGATTGGCCAGATATAGGGAGAAAATGGCCTAGCTTCACTCCGTTTACTCCTGTGAAGATGAGTAATGAAGGGCCCGACATTATGCAGTCACAATGAGAGCAGAGAGTGGAGGCAGAGCTAATGTTAGCACACATCACTGTGGGTTGTAAAGATGTATGCACTGTACTGTATATACAGTAAGTTGCATATGCAATGACTCAATCATCATATCCCAGGACATCAGTGGTCTTCAAAGCTTTTCACGTTGACTAACATGAAATATTCCTTAATATGAATTTATAATCTCTTAGTATTTGGTTTGTCTCTCTTTTGCTTTAATGACAGCTGCACTAGAGCTGCATGAACTCCAGAAGTTTGTGTGAAACACGATTTGAGAATGATCAGAAGAATGTCATGAGCTTCAATGGAAGCAAGAACATTGTACTGTCTGTACAAAAGGTTACATGATCACAATTAATTGACAAAAATGCCAGATATTCTAGTCAAAATATGCTTTTGACATTTGTATTACTTTTTAATACATACATACACACACACACACACACACACATATATATATATATATATATATGTGTGTGTGTGTGTGTGTGTGTGTAAGATATGTATATGAGATAATATAATATGTATATGTATATGAGATAATATCATATTTATATGTATATGAGATAATATCATATTTATATATATAGTTTTAGTTTTAGTCATTTTAGCACTTCAACTTCAACTTATTTTTGGTTAGTTGCCAAGGCAACATTTCAATTTTTTTGTAGTTTTTACGTTACATTTTTTAAAGTTTGTTTTTCATCAAATATTGTATTTTATTTCAGCTTTATTTCAATTACTAGGCAGTCATTTCAGAAATCCATGTGATCGGGAATTTCACGTGAGGTCTAAAAAATTAAATGAAAAATATTTTTTCTTAATTTAAATAAAGCTCCAATAAAATAAAATAATATAAATATTAAATGAAAATACAAACACAAATTATTATATAGAATAGTACTATAATATTGTGATTTTTGTGTTTCATACATATATTTTAAGTTTTTATTTTAATTTTATTTTAAGTTTTGTAATTTTGTTATTTGCTTTTGTCATTATTGTTATAATTTTGGTAAATGTTTGTTTTAGTAATTTTAGTACTTCAATATTAACTTATTTCTTTTAGTTGCAAAGGCAACATTGTTTATATATTTATAATTAATATAATATAATAATTTATTTTAAGTATGTAAATAATATATAAATAATTTCAGCTTCATTTCAATTATTGAAAATGACTTAAGTTATTGTTTTAGTTGACAATAACAACAGTGGTATGGGTTGAAGATGTTAAAGTGAGTGCGTGTGTGTGTGTGTGTGTGTGTGTGTGTGTGTGTGTGTGAGTGTGTGCGTGTGTGTGTGTGTGTGTGTG